CAGGACAATGCTAGGCCGCACACGTCTTTGTCCACTCGGCAAAAATTGATGAATATTGGTTGGGAATTGATGTTACATCCACCATATAGCCCTGATCTCGCGCCATCGGATTACCACTTATTTTGATCCCTGGACAACTCCCTTCGTGGTAAAACTTTTAACGATGATGACGCTGTAAAATCTCACTTAACTCAGTTTTTGGCCGATAAGGATCAGACTTTCTACGAGCGTGGAATTTTCAAGTTGTCGGAGAGATGGCAAAAGGTCATCGAACAAAATGGAAAATACATTACAGATTAAACTTCGTTTCAAGTAAAAAAAAATTTTTATTTCATTGAATAAATCGACAATTACTTAGTTGCCAACCCAATAGAATCGAACACTGAAGATTTTTCGGAAGCTTCTCGATCGTCACAGTGCTTCCGGAATAATGTCGAAACCGCCTTCTAAAAATCGATCACCTCTGGCACGCATTATCGAAAGTAGCCTGTACGGTTCAGAGCATACAGACGCACTTTACCTAGCACGCACACGTTCAATAATGACCCGCATGTAAATGTCACCGCCTAAGGGAAATCCAATCGGATGCGGGTTGCGCAAAAGCGCGTCGAGTGTATCGTTTCGATCGGCATCGCATCTGGGAATGAGAACGACGCTCGCGAGCGAAAAAAAAAAGAATATAAAAATGGTAGCGCAACGGGCGGGGGCGGGCAAAGTTGGTCGCGTATCAGCGAGGAGAAAGTTTTCCCTCCTTTTGTCCGCGGCATGTATTAAATTTCACGCGTCCACGTAGAAATCGAATATAGATTGAAACGTCATCGCGTGCCGCCGCTTTTGTCTGCTGCTGCGATGACGTTATCACGCGGAATTGTTTGCCGTGACGCTTTACCGCGTTATATGGAACGATCAGTTTTAATCTATAATTGAATACAGCTCGCCGGAGGAAAATTCGATGTAGGAACAACGACGGCCCGCGTGTCCGACGCGATTTTCGACCGGATCTAACGATTTGAGGATAAGTCTGACATTTGGAAATTTTTTTCCGAAAAAATTAACGGTGCTTCCTCTTTAACGAATATTTTAATCAATGCTCTGTATATTGTGGAACCTGTGGGAATTTTTCTGTGGAAAAGTCTGCAGAAATGACCAGGTAAATTAAATTCGCCCTAATTGACGCTCGGATTACGGTAATTTCTCCCTAATTCGCGCTCAGATTGCGCATATAAATGGACAATTTGGGGAGAGGAGATACGATTATCCGAGCATTGCGTCTCGGGTCTTGCAGACCTGTTTTTATAGTCGTCGACAATCGGTAACTATAAAAACGAGCCGCAAGACTCGAATAATTGTGTCTCCCCTTTCCAAATTGTCCATTCTTGTCCGCAATTTGAGTGCGAATTAGAGAGAAATTACTGTATACACAAAATAGGACAATTTGGAAAGAAGAGATTCTATTATTCGCGGCTAGTTTTTATAGTTAGGCTCGTTTATATAGTATACATATAGTATAGCAAGACCCGAATAATCGTATCTCCTCTTCTCAAATTGCCCATTTTTGTGCACAATTTGAGCGTAAATTAAGGAAAATTGACTGTATTTCCTGTCTTCTGAAAGTTGCTTACTTGAAGATGCTGTTCTGTGCTGTGAGCACGATTTCTTAGATTTTCTGGAGTAAAAAATTCCTGAAGAGTTTGTTGACGCACGAACTTGCCTGATAGATAAGCGAAATGATTTTGAATTGACGATGAAATTGATTTGAACGATGATTCAATTTTTGACGAAAGTGCAGGCGTTTTAACACAGTAAAAAGTAAATTTAAGTAAAAAAAGATTTTACTTGATCAATGTTCGAAGATTGGACTTGTATGCGTGTCCGAAGATTGCCACGTGTTACCGATCAAACTGAATTCCACAGGGTTGCCTGGAGATGTTGGAGAAATGGACGCAGGACCAAGCGTTGATACTGCTGACGGTCGGATTGGCAGTGATTTTCGTCGAAGTAGGCGCATTGCTGACCACGTTTCTCGCCTGCTCGAGGGGTCACAAGCGAGCCAAGTCCCGAGCATCGACGTTCACGTCCACGCAAACCTTGAGCCCTTTCAGCGAAAGCGATCACGATTTCGGTGAGCGAACCTCCGTACTTCACCCAGCTGAAGAGCCTACGGCTAAGAGATCATGTTTACTAAAGACGGCTTTCTATGTCAACCGACTCTTGGTTCTCGCTCGAGCACCAGCGAGCCTAGCATTTTCTTAGCAAATTGTTGCTTTATCGTAGGATTCGGGAACACGAACCATCAGATCCACCAATCCCAAAGCGTTGATCCGTTATTCGCAGGCATGGGGATCGAGAATCGGATGCACGCGGCCGGCACGACGTTCGGCGCCAAGTCTTGAAGGTGGCTAGAGGGCAGCGAGGGTAAATCGCCGATCGAGGTCAAGAACAGAGACAAGAAGACCGTGGGCAATCTTCCTAGGCTGAACGACGTGTCGAGATTCAACCGGAGCATCATCGAGGAGTGGAAGAACCCGTCGAAGCCCTCCGACGATGTCTTACGAAACGACCAGCTGTACGAAGAGCGAGCGATCGACGTGCCGAACCATCCGTTCCAGCGGAACTACTCGAAGAAGAGCAACGACAACGCGAAAACCAGCGACGAGAAGAGGAGCCTAAGCAGAACGAAGGTATCTCAGAACAACGGGACCGTCAGGAGCATTCCGATCAAACACTATCAGGCGTCGATAGCGCAGAACATGGGAACGTTGAGAAGGTCCTTGGCGCCGCAGCTGCAATTCGAGTCCTCGATCTCCGAGCCCGAGAAGAACTGCTACAAAACGGTCTCCGCGAACGACGTATCCTGTTCCCAGAACGAACAAGCCCCGCGTCCGATTCGTTTCTTGAAGCACTCGGACGCTGCCAACGCGACGAGAAGGTCCTGCCACTCCTGCGACTATCAGCGCGAGGCTCGATCCGAAGCCAACCGGATCAACTCTAAATTGAAGACGCTGGATCGCCGGATAGTCCGAAGCGAGCACAACATCTCCCATCGATTGGACGACGACGTCAGCGACTTCGATGAATACTTCCACAAGGTTGGCTCTAGGTCGATGACGATGGGTCGTTTGAAATCGGGGAAGACGCAGGAAAATGGAGGGGCCAACTGCCATTCCAAGGACGAGGAGAACCGGCTGAATAGGAAGTGGGGAACGATCGACCTTGAACGAGGACACGTCGGTCAGAAGATATCGGCGTACGAGGAGAACGCGAGGTGCAGCGGCCGCAATTGGGAGTACAGCGACAGGTACCAGGTGCTTCCGGAGATTAAGAAGCATAGAACGATAGGCGTGCCATTGGTAGGGATGCACAATGCGTGCGGATTGCCAGTGGTAGCTTCCTGGCCTGATCACGAGCTGCTGGAGCCCTTGAGGGTCCGAAGCAGAGTTATAGGGACGCTGAGACCGATCTTCAAGACACCCAGGACCACCGACGGTCGTCATCGAACGCATCCGAAGAGGAAAGCGCCACAGCCGAACCAGACCATGTCCAGGAAGAAGCACGACGCGGAGAAGTTGAAGAATCTTGACAAGCAAGTGGAGTGTCCGTCGATAAAGTCGCTGATGTCTTTGGATACCGAAGGCGAGGCTAAAAAGAGGAGGAGGAGACGTCCGTCGTTCAAGGCGAAGAAGGTCGGGACGTTCTCGTCGTCGAAGAACTCCATGAGGCACACCTGTAAATCGCATATCAAGAGGAACAAGGAGAACTCGATGGCTGATAACGCTCGCAGGAAATCACCGGATGCCGAGAACGCTAAGAGACAGACTTTGTATGCGAGGGACGATGGCGAGGACTCTGTGCAAGTCCTGAAGAATCTATGTTTGAATCCTCTGGCACGGACCAAGTCGGAAACCGATATGATTTGGTGATTATTGGTCTCTGCTTTCTTCGATGATACCGGGTGTCCCCGCTAAGATCGTACACCCAGGTATTTTCTGCGCTTTTAGCAAATTATTCGGTGGCTATTCGTACAGTTTATATTAAATAATATATTAAATATATATATAATATATTATAATTATTATTATTATATATTATAACGTATATTATAATTATTATTATTATATATTATAACGTATATTATAATATNTCGCGTATCAGCGAGGAGAAAGTTTTCCCTCCTTTTGTCCGCGGCATGTATTAAATTTCACGCGTCCACGTAGAAATCGAATATAGATTGAAACGTCATCGCGTGCCGCCGCTTTTGTCTGCTGCTGCGATGACGTTATCACGCGGAATTGTTTGCCGTGACGCTTTACCGCGTTATATGGAACGATCAGTTTTAATCTATAATTGAATACAGCTCGCCGGAGGAAAATTCGATGTAGGAACAACGACGGCCCGCGTGTCCGACGCGATTTTCGACCGGATCTAACGATTTGAGGATAAGTCTGACATTTGGAAATTTTTTTCCGAAAAAATTAACGGTGCTTCCTCTTTAACGAATATTTTAATCAATGCTCTGTATATTGTGGAACCTGTGGGAATTTTTCTGTGGAAAAGTCTGCAGAAATGACCAGGTAAATTAAATTCGCCCTAATTGACGCTCGGATTACGGTAATTTCTCCCTAATTCGCGCTCAGATTGCGCATATAAATGGACAATTTGGGGAGAGGAGATACGATTATCCGAGCATTGCGTCTCGGGTCTTGCAGACCTGTTTTTATAGTCGTCGACAATCGGTAACTATAAAAACGAGCCGCAAGACTCGAATAATTGTGTCTCCCCTTTCCAAATTGTCCATTCTTGTCCGCAATTTGAGTGCGAATTAGAGAGAAATTACTGTATACACAAAATAGGACAATTTGGAAAGAAGAGATTCTATTATTCGCGGCTAGTTTTTATAGTTAGGCTCGTTTATATAGTATACATATAGTATAGCAAGACCCGAATAATCGTATCTCCTCTTCTCAAATTGCCCATTTTTGTGCACAATTTGAGCGTAAATTAAGGAAAATTGACTGTATTTCCTGTCTTCTGAAAGTTGCTTACTTGAAGATGCTGTTCTGTGCTGTGAGCACGATTTCTTAGATTTTCTGGAGTAAAAAATTCCTGAAGAGTTTGTTGACGCACGAACTTGCCTGATAGATAAGCGAAATGATTTTGAATTGACGATGAAATTGATTTGAACGATGATTCAATTTTTGACGAAAGTGCAGGCGTTTTAACACAGTAAAAAGTAAATTTAAGTAAAAAAAGATTTTACTTGATCAATGTTCGAAGATTGGACTTGTATGCGTGTCCGAAGATTGCCACGTGTTACCGATCAAACTGAATTCCACAGGGTTGCCTGGAGATGTTGGAGAAATGGACGCAGGACCAAGCGTTGATACTGCTGACGGTCGGATTGGCAGTGATTTTCGTCGAAGTAGGCGCATTGCTGACCACGTTTCTCGCCTGCTCGAGGGGTCACAAGCGAGCCAAGTCCCGAGCATCGACGTTCACGTCCACGCAAACCTTGAGCCCTTTCAGCGAAAGCGATCACGATTTCGGTGAGCGAACCTCCGTACTTCACCCAGCTGAAGAGCCTACGGCTAAGAGATCATGTTTACTAAAGACGGCTTTCTATGTCAACCGACTCTTGGTTCTCGCTCGAGCACCAGCGAGCCTAGCATTTTCTTAGCAAATTGTTGCTTTATCGTAGGATTCGGGAACACGAACCATCAGATCCACCAATCCCAAAGCGTTGATCCGTTATTCGCAGGCATGGGGATCGAGAATCGGATGCACGCGGCCGGCACGACGTTCGGCGCCAAGTCTTGAAGGTGGCTAGAGGGCAGCGAGGGTAAATCGCCGATCGAGGTCAAGAACAGAGACAAGAAGACCGTGGGCAATCTTCCTAGGCTGAACGACGTGTCGAGATTCAACCGGAGCATCATCGAGGAGTGGAAGAACCCGTCGAAGCCCTCCGACGATGTCTTACGAAACGACCAGCTGTACGAAGAGCGAGCGATCGACGTGCCGAACCATCCGTTCCAGCGGAACTACTCGAAGAAGAGCAACGACAACGCGAAAACCAGCGACGAGAAGAGGAGCCTAAGCAGAACGAAGGTATCTCAGAACAACGGGACCGTCAGGAGCATTCCGATCAAACACTATCAGGCGTCGATAGCGCAGAACATGGGAACGTTGAGAAGGTCCTTGGCGCCGCAGCTGCAATTCGAGTCCTCGATCTCCGAGCCCGAGAAGAACTGCTACAAAACGGTCTCCGCGAACGACGTATCCTGTTCCCAGAACGAACAAGCCCCGCGTCCGATTCGTTTCTTGAAGCACTCGGACGCTGCCAACGCGACGAGAAGGTCCTGCCACTCCTGCGACTATCAGCGCGAGGCTCGATCCGAAGCCAACCGGATCAACTCTAAATTGAAGACGCTGGATCGCCGGATAGTCCGAAGCGAGCACAACATCTCCCATCGATTGGACGACGACGTCAGCGACTTCGATGAATACTTCCACAAGGTTGGCTCTAGGTCGATGACGATGGGTCGTTTGAAATCGGGGAAGACGCAGGAAAATGGAGGGGCCAACTGCCATTCCAAGGACGAGGAGAACCGGCTGAATAGGAAGTGGGGAACGATCGACCTTGAACGAGGACACGTCGGTCAGAAGATATCGGCGTACGAGGAGAACGCGAGGTGCAGCGGCCGCAATTGGGAGTACAGCGACAGGTACCAGGTGCTTCCGGAGATTAAGAAGCATAGAACGATAGGCGTGCCATTGGTAGGGATGCACAATGCGTGCGGATTGCCAGTGGTAGCTTCCTGGCCTGATCACGAGCTGCTGGAGCCCTTGAGGGTCCGAAGCAGAGTTATAGGGACGCTGAGACCGATCTTCAAGACACCCAGGACCACCGACGGTCGTCATCGAACGCATCCGAAGAGGAAAGCGCCACAGCCGAACCAGACCATGTCCAGGAAGAAGCACGACGCGGAGAAGTTGAAGAATCTTGACAAGCAAGTGGAGTGTCCGTCGATAAAGTCGCTGATGTCTTTGGATACCGAAGGCGAGGCTAAAAAGAGGAGGAGGAGACGTCCGTCGTTCAAGGCGAAGAAGGTCGGGACGTTCTCGTCGTCGAAGAACTCCATGAGGCACACCTGTAAATCGCATATCAAGAGGAACAAGGAGAACTCGATGGCTGATAACGCTCGCAGGAAATCACCGGATGCCGAGAACGCTAAGAGACAGACTTTGTATGCGAGGGACGATGGCGAGGACTCTGTGCAAGTCCTGAAGAATCTATGTTTGAATCCTCTGGCACGGACCAAGTCGGAAACCGATATGATTTGGTGATTATTGGTCTCTGCTTTCTTCGATGATACCGGGTGTCCCCGCTAAGATCGTACACCCAGGTATTTTCTGCGCTTTTAGCAAATTATTCGGTGGCTATTCGTACAGTTTATATTAAATAATATATTAAATATATATATAATATATTATAATTATTATTATTATATATTATAACGTATATTATAATTATTATTATTATATATTATAACGTATATTATAATATATTATATTATTATTATATATTATTTAATATATATATATATATTAAATAATAAATGAGACGTTAAGGTGTTCGTTCTTAGCTGGGACACTCTGTATAAAAGTGGATTGAGATCTTCAATTTGTTTGGACAGCGGTCCAGACGATGCAGTCTCGCGTGTTTTAATGATATACATGTATGTGCTTTGTAAATATGCTTAAATGATATATGTATGTATTTTATTCTCGAGTGTTCATATAAAAAGAAGCCCTTGCTACCCTCGTTGAAAAGATCGATGTACGTCGAAGGAGTTATATATTTTAATGACGAGTAAATTAATCGTTTTAAGCCTGTAATGTTACGACGTTTTGGTAATTGTAAAATACCAATTTATTATCCGAGTTGTTGTGTTACGAATATCATTAAAAGAACAGAAAATCGGAAATGATTTAACATCGATTTGAATTAACCTCTTAAAATTTAAATATTTGTCGCGCATGCGTTATTTTTTCTCTGATCTAATGATTGCAATTTAATTGACTTTTTGACATAAGAACGCATCCTCTTGCAAACATTAGACTGCTTCAATTTGCGGTCTTAAAAGTTCAAAATTCTACTCAAGAATGTACGCAACGATCGATTTGAGTTGAGCTTTTCAAATTCAAACATATTTCGTTTGCGCACGCGTTAACGTTGCACTTGAGAATAAAAATAATTATAGCAACTACAAATGATGTAACTTTCACAGTTATATTGCTAAAATTCATTGCGGTCAATTCTAGACGCAAGAAGATATACGTATTAGCAATGTCGGGGGCAAAGCGTTCAGAAATACGAGGGTAGGTACAGAAACTGCTTTTCTCTGCTTGGCTGACGCTTCACAGCTAAGCAGTGCTGCCCTCACAGTTTTAGACAAAGAGAAGAAGTAGTGCGTGAGCAAGAGAACATGACATCGGCAACATACAAGCGAAACAAGTCACACCGACGACCAATGTAGCTTACGATCTCACTCTATTCGCGCATCCGTTTGCCTGACGCCCCATCTGAAACACTTGGCGTGATATTCGACCAGCGTACTTGCGAACGTCTTGAAACGACAATCATTTCTACAATTATTAAAATTTTCGAAACCCGTAAGTCACAGTTGACAAATACTGGGATGGCTGAATTAACAAAATTTGGTAGATTCATAAACTAAAAAGTATTACCTAAAATGTAGCTTACGGGTTTTTGAAAATTTTAATAATTGTAGAAATGGTGGCCGTTTCAAGACGTTCGTAAATACGCTGGACTGTGGTCGAGAATCCTACTGGGCAAAAAGTATAAGTCAAATATCACGCCACGTGTTTCAGTTGGAGCGCCAGGCGTACGGATGCGCGAATAGAGTGAGATCGCAAGCACGGTAAAGTGAGATGCCCTAGATTTCTCGTCCGTGTGGACATTCATTCATAGAGCTCGCTGGTTTCGTTCTATCTCTCTCAATCATCTCCCGTTATCTTTCTAAAGCAACTGCGCGGACCTGGATGTGCATTAAAATGGTGGGGATAAAATGTTTACTATGCTGAAACAGAATTGCTTGAATGTACTGTAGTACATTTGTTTCAAGTAATTAATTTTGTTTCTGGAACGAAGAAAATACAGTAACGACAATGAATATTTTCGTAAAATCTGCGGTATCAACTGTAAGATTAAGTATACAAAATAGGCAACATTTATGTTGTTATTCTTATATAAATTTGAAATGATGTTGCAACAATGTGTAATTTAAGGTTAAACCAACACCATTGGTTAGAAGTATTGCAATGAGTTCTATGAAACATACAAATGATCCTGGAGATATAATTCATTTGGAAGGTCATGAACCTAGTATACCTCCTTATGTTGAACGGAGTGATGAAAACTCAACAGTTAAAAGAGCGAGGTAGAAATAAAAGGCATTACTTATAACTGCGTAATTATGCAATTGTATTTGTCACACTTTCTTCTTGTAGGCTGATATATCAGTCTCGTAAGCGGGGTATGTTAGAGAATGGCCTACTGTTAAGTACGTTTGTCAAGAAGTATTTATCTGATTTTAATGATGAACAATTACAAATGTATGATCGGCTCATAAATTTACCGTCAAATGATTGGGATATATTTTATTGGGCTATAGGCTCAAAACCCACACCACCGGAGTTTGATAATGAAGTTATGGATTTATTAAAGAAGCATATTAAAAATGAGGATCGTCAAGCAAGAATAATGCAACCTGAATTATAGATGTAGTAATACGTAATAGATTCTGTCTTTGTAACTAACAGAAGAAGTATTGTACTAGTACAATAAACGATTATTTATTTATTTGAATAGCAAATATATTTTTAGTACGTTTACAACATGCAATAGTTACTGTAAATATAGTCGAAATAAAATATATATTCTTTATTAATGATCTGATTGTTTAACATAAATAACCTTTTAAAATCAATATTAAAAATAAATCTTTTTATTACAAATCCTTATATGTACAAATATTGTGGACATTTGTTATAAAAATTACACTTAATACTGTTGCATTATTTGATGAATAAAGTGGCCAAAAGTGCCAATGTCTGTGAACACTGGGCTAATATCTTCACACTTATAAATGTGAAGATATCATAAACAATATTATTAACCAAGTCGTATGAACCTATTTGGATTTTGGGAAAACTTTACAAGTCCTGGACCACTGTTTGATGTCGTCGCTTTTTTCGTTGCTGCCTTTGCCGTAGTTTTTCCTTTACGCGTGCTACAAATACATCAGTAATTAATATGAACAATATGAATTGCATTCAAACAACAAAATGTTTCTATAATTTACCTAGATGCTGTTCGTTTGTACTTTTTAGCGTTATTTCGATAATAGGCTTTGCCTTTGCGTTTTGTACCACCAGTACTGTACGTTTTACCTGAATACGTAGAAACATCAGCACTCCACGTATCGTTGTCATCGTTATCACTACTTTCTACCATTTCTTCATTTAATAATACTAGAAGTTAATTCACAGTAAGAAACGTTTAATTATTTTATTATTAAAGCAGTGGAAAATATAATACACTATTTTTTATGTTACCATATTCTGCAGCATATTTTCTTGTAATATCTAATAAAGCTTTCCCATATTTTTCAAAGTTTGCCTTAGTCACATGCGGTATTTGTAACATAGATTCTTCATTATCTGGTAGCTTCTGACTCATGGCCCTGATCGCTATCATATTCATTACCGAAGATGCAGAAATATCGAGAGCTCCAGCAATTCCTTTTATTATCTCCATTAGTTCTTTATAACAACGGTCTCTCAATTCTTGCAGAACTTTATCAGTTTTCTTCGTGACTGTAGACACTGTTGCTACTGCAGCACTGTTATTGTTAGACGATCTCATAGGAATTAAGATCTGTTGTTAATATTATCAAATTAGAGCAATTAAAATTAATTTATTATTTTTGTAGATATTAAATTTACCTTTATATCCTTTTTTGTCATAAGCTCACTTGCCTTGGCACCAATTTTAACGTAGGCACAAGCAATTTCATTTCTGATGTACATGGTCTCTTGTAAATACTCTTTGAGCACCATAATATGCAACAAACGTTCTATATCACCTCTATTCCATGACCTCCCATACCCATACAAAGGATGCTTAGTAAGTCCTGTAAAAGTAGTTTGCAATTATATTTCACATCGAGGAACAATATCTATATGGTATAACAGGGGAAACCTTATACCTGAATCCCGAATTTTCTTGAGATCACTTCCTTTAAATATGTCTGTAAGGAATACCATTGTGAGATTACAATTCCTCATTTGATTAATTTCACGCACCCCTTTCATAATATGTTTTGCTTGATCCGTTGCATCTAGCATGCGGAAATCATCCTACAAAGATTTACATATTACATTTGAAATATTGATATTATAATAATTCGTTATTTCCATCACTTACTTTATTTCTGCAATTATCACACGATGTTGCTTTATTAACAAGACACTGTTGTCGATCAAATATTTCTCCAAAATAATTTAATTGCAGGGCCCTGCGACAATCTGTTCTATTTTCACAAAACGATACCATTTTAAATAAATTATCCATATGGGTTTTAAGTATTTCAGGATTGGAGTTATCCAATTCAAGCATTTTTCTTATTCTGTGCATATCAGTATAATTGTAAAATAAAATGCAGTCAGCATTGTCTCCATCACGACCAGCGCGTCCACTTTCTTGATAGTAACCTTCGATCGATTTTGGAAGAGCTGCATGTATTACGAAACGCACATTTGGTTTGTCAATACCCATTCCAAACGCAATTGTTGCACAAATTACGTGAATCTACAATTTTAAATATCATACGATCATATAAAATGGTGCCACTATCTCAGAAATATTCTAAACATACATATGGACATATATAAGCAAGCAAACATGAAAGAAATTTTAAGTACAGTATCGAAATCGGTAGTTGCTGATTACTGCATGCATTCATGTCACACCTAGCAAAAATTTGTGACTATTATAGGATGTCCCCCTTGAAACAGGATAATTGTGTGCGTTAGTTCAAATGAGACACCCTGTATATAGTTGTTATATATAATTTGCTTTATGTTACTAATATTGTAAAAATCTATAAAATATATTTTAGCCGAATAAATAGGGTTCCGCTATATTTATAATTATCAAAAATATTTTATGCAAATAATTTTTCATACTTCCTCCGAAATCCATCGTCCTTGAATATCACTTCTATTATTATCTGTAAGACCAGCATGATAACTTAATGCTCGGATACCATTCTTTTTTAGTTGCACTGCGTAATCGTCACAATCTTTACGGGATAAGCAATACACGATTCCACATTCATTTTTATACTTTGTTTTGATCATAGCTACTACTTCTTCTGCACAATTTTTTCCCTTCTTCGAAATTATGCTATATCTTAAATTAGGCCTATTGAAACTGGACATAAACCTGAAAAAAGAATTCTTAATTGAAGCGTTTAAAAATGATATTAATGTAATAACTTACCATTTTGGTTTGTTAAGACCTAACTGATATAATATATCAGTTCGAACTCTTGGCGTGGCTGTTGCTGTTAAGGCAATTGTTGGTACTTTGGGATAATTTTGTCTGAGGCATTTTAATCTTTTGTAGTCAGGCCGAAAATCGTGACCCCATTGACTCACACAGTGTGCTTCATCAATGATGAATCTTGCCAACAACCCTCTCTGATACAATGTAAGTAAACAATCACAAAGTCTTTGCGATGCAGATATCTTTTCTGGCGTCACATACAATAATTTTAGAGCTGGTTCTTTTTTTGCAAGCTCTCTATATATTCCATCTGACTGACTGTCTGTTTGACCACCGCACATATGTGCTGCTGGAATCTATGTAAAGTTTTTTGCAATTTGTAACTACAACGTGATATTAAAATCATAATACATAAAATCGATCATCTTTTTAACATCAGTCTCAAGGATTATGTTTAAACTAAAATATTATGCATCACACATACAATTAATTTTGAATTTGTTTATAAAATACAGACTACTCCCATGGAAATATGCATATTTTTCATTTGTGAATTTTTACCGCGACAGTTATTTAATTTTCTGTTTAAATCTAGAAGCTATTAGCAAAATTCTAAAATTATTTTATATTGGAACAAATTTTTGACATGCTGAAGTCTACAAATAGAATCTTATCACGTAAATTTTAATTTGAAGTTGATTTAAAATTTTTAAATGAACATGAAATATGTTACGTTCACCATACCATATTAGTTTGAACAAAATCAATGAATATTTTCTACTCAAAGGAAAAAGTAATTCATTTAATGCTATGTATCTAATAAAAAAGATTGCTTGAAAAGAACATACATCAAGGGATGTGAGCTTTTGAACTTGATCGAAAATAAGACTTTTCAATGGGGAAACTACAATTGTTACGCCAGGTACCAAAAGCGCTGGTAATTGATAACATAAAGATTTCCCTCCTCCAGTAGGCATCAAAACAAAACAGTCAAATCCCAAAAGTGCGGCATTAATTGCTTGCAATTGATTTGGCCTAAATGAATATAAGCCAAATTTTTGTCTAAATACCTGAAAATATTTAAGTTAATTTATTGAGTACATACATTGGAATTGAAATACGAAATATATCTATTATAGTAACTCAGAGGAAAAATTCGACTTTACCTTTAACATTTCTCGTGAATGTGGATAAGTTTCACTATCAAATTCACCACTGACGCCATCGTTTTTGTAATTTCCAGTGAAATTACCCGTTTCGATTTGAACCTTTGCGGATTTTGTATTTTTTTTATCATTTTTTAATCCATTATCATTAACGTCGTCATCTTGAGCTGTTAATATTCCAAATTTCATAAATGCACAATATAATATTTTATTCAACCATTATAGCATAGAAAAGAAATTTTATAGTTAATATTTACTTGAGAAATTCCAACTTGTATTTATATTACTTTCTTTATTTAGCGGAGGAAATTGTTCAAATTCTTGAGTTAAACAGTCCACAATGTTTTCAGAATATGAATTATCTACAATAAATCACTGATTAAAATATGAAATATAAACTACAATACTTAATCTTTACAGTTAATTATAAATTATATATAATATGGTTACCAGGTGCATCAAATATATCACCCCAATCATCCTGAATATTTTCCTGTGTCGATTTTGCATTAAATTGGGAACTATCTTCTTCCTTCTTTTGTATGAACTGTGTGTTTTCATTAGTTTTACATTGTTCTGGTTTATACATACCAGTAATTATTGTATGCTTATTGCTAACTATTTTTTCCTGCATACATTGTACATGTTCTTTAGTTTCTTCTTTTCCTGGTTTATGTGTACTGGTAGTTCTTGTATGTTCGTCAGTGGCTATTGCTGCAGAATTAAGAGTTTTACATTTTTCTTCTTTTTCCCATATCTCTTCTATCTGCTTAGAAACATTTGTAACCACAGTTGCTTTAATAGGTCTTTTTAATTGGAATGCTCCCTTCTTTCCTTGAAGAGGCGAGAAATTTACACTATTATTATGTATTTGTTCTTTTATTTGAGATTCATTTTTTTTCTCTAAAGGTGAGAAACATTCTATCTTCATTGGAGAAATTGTACTTTCCGTTTGGATAGTACGAACATAATTTGAATTAGTCAAATTATCTGTAGACAAATTAAAACTGTCACTGAAGTATTCTTCTTCTGCAAACACGTCTGAAGCATTTACTCTTGATTGATGATTTGAAGTTCTTGGTGTTATGGGTGGTACAAAACTATTTTTACTTTCATATATGTGCTCATTACTAGATTTTATGTTTTCATTGGTTTGTACATGCATTAACTTCTTCTCAGTCAAACGTATTTTTGCTTTAACATGCTGATGTAGAATTTTTAAATCTTGATACGATTGTGCATTAAAATTTGGAAACTTTTCTAAAACAGGCAAAGGAATACGTTCTAATGCAATGTAAACTTTTTCCAAAATTTCTATTTGAAAATCTTTCAGTTGTTTAAACCTATCTTCTAACTGAGCTTTTGTGTCCTGGAATCAAGTTATTTTTACATAATTGCATTATATAATTTATTTTTAATACCTGTATTTATGAAATTGTGTTATAAGTGATTACTTACAGGTATAGATGACATTATAGGTCTTCCTTTGGCAGATTCAATCCAAGGATCCAGATTTTTACCTAAGTCTAATGGCTTCAAATCTAATTTGAAATCTGGTCCTACCCATTGCTTTTGAGGAGTTCTTCTATAACTACTTTTAAAATGTGGACTACTGTCAGAATCTGATATCACAATATTTTCTTTTCTTGCACGCCTTATTATTTGTTTTTGTGTTTTTGGGCTATCTGTTTCTATTTTTTTCTTTTCTTCTACTTTACCTTTATTTACATTGTTTTGAGATGAAACTAATGATATTTTAGGTGATGCATTGTGTTCGGTTTTTAAAATCACATCATCTCGATGTGCTTCAGATTCATGTTCACTATCATCAAGAATTCTATTTTTTTTGTTTACACGCAAAGCAGGTTTTACAATATCAGTGTCACTATCTGAGGAAGAAACAAATCTGATTTTTGGTTTTCGTATGGTTCTAGTCAAAAATTTTGGTTTGAACGTTGGACTTGACATTATTTTTTCCTCTTTGGGATTCTTATGTTCGTCTTCAGTATTATTAATAGATGTTTTCACAGGTGTTTTTAAGTTATCACGATGAAATGAATCATCAGAACTTCCCTGAAAACATTAATATAAGAACGAAAGAAATTTGATATTTAATCTTTCGTGAATATGTTATCATGTTTTGATGTAAAATAAGAAATTTTCTTACAATAGATATGATACTGGTCCTATTATTGGAATTCGTTACATTGTCCTCTGCATTAATAGGTTTACTATTCGCTGCACTTAAATCATTGTTTAACGTAGAATTTGTGTTTATTGGTTTTATGGTGCTGTAAAATATGGTATTTGTTTTTGTTGTATATAAATAATGAACAATTCTTGTTTTTAATACGCTATAGCATCAGAGATTTTTAATAAAATGATATATATTATAGCAGATTAAGAGTGTCAGGATAAAATAAAGAAATTTGTAATGAACAGTATAATGAAATTGCAATGAACATTATATTGATTGTTTGCCCTTAGTCTAATCTTTTATGTAGGTACAACGTATGATTTTGATACCTCGGCACAGCATTTCTAAATCTTTCAAGGTATCCTTGAAATGTTGGTTGAAATGAAGTTGACTGGGGCTCCACAGACTTTGACATTTTCTCGAGATTCTAGTGTGATCACTAAATCATTAAAAGATCTTGAGACTTACGTGTGCTGTAAATGACGAAATAAGCTGCACATTTTATTTATCTTGTAATTAAAATTTGTAATGACTACGACATTAAACAAACGATGACATAAACTCATTGAAATTTTCATATAAATATACGTTTATTAGAGAGCACGTTTCTTTCAATATATCAAATGCAAAACCAACATTAATTTTATTTTATGTATAGGCATGTGATGTACACTAGACGAAAACCACTTAAGATGAATTGAATTGAATTAAATTCATCTACATTAAAACACATGTCTTATAAATTACATTGTTCGATTATCTATAAATTGTTTAGTTTAATTTTATTAAAATGTTCTTGTTAATGTAAACAATGTTCAACGTACACATTGGTACACATTTCTGAATGTTAAATATAAACTACACTTCCACCAGCTCCACCTGAAGTGAGCTGCAATACGTGATTTTAGAACAGTGTTTCAACTGTCATTCAAGTTATATAACTTTTTGAAACTAAAATTCAATAGTCTGAAATTTCTATTTAAATCTTCGAATACATTAGAGTACACTCATAACGATATATGATATATATATATTAAAGTATATATATATTAAATCCCGTATTTATATCGCATCGCACACTTCCGTATTTCCGAGGTTATGTCAAGGTGTGCGCAAATCTTCGAAAATGAGAAGGGATAAGCGCGGGAATCGAAATCAAAACAAGTATTGTTATACATATTTTATTATCGCAAACAAGTCACATGTAGTTTCGTCAAAGATGAGATATGAAAATTGATCTAACATACAACATGAAATTTACTTTTCTGTTGCCGATTTTACAGATTGTGAGAGCTCCGTTACCATTCCCGAGTCGCACGCAACTTTATCGATACTTCACGTATTTACCTCTTAGCACAGGAATTTACTTTACTTACACTCTTTCTCTACTTACGTTATTTCGCAATGTTTATTGTTAAATACATGTATTTCTCCTATCAGTTTTAAAATCGTAGTATTAAAAAATGAGAACTTTGGATATATTCCACGATTAATGATTTGCATTGCAGAAAACGATAGACTGACGTAGCTATGTTATAAAGCAAAAAGAAAATTATATTTTTTGTTTGTTATCATTTTATTTCACATGTACGACTATATTTAGTAAATATGGAAAATACATTTGTTAACTATAAAAATACAATTTTCATTGTACTATAAATGTGAACATTTTTATACATACATTTATTTAACACGATATTGCTGTACGTGTACTATACCTCTGTAATTCCAACAAATTATTTCAGACATTATATCTGGTACTATAATTT